AAAGTACATATTTCCTAGGGTTCTGGCCTCTGTCATTTCCACTCCATGCTCTAATTCTGCTCAGGCCTCTCTCAGGGGGGCCAAACTCCCGCCTACTGACCTGGGAGTCTCACGGGCAGCTACCTCAAATTCTGCACATCTACAAAAGTAACTTGTTACCCTTCACCCCCTCCACAAACTTACTGGCCCTCCCTCCCTCCTTATCTCAAGGAGCAATATCATTGCCCACACAGTGACTGGGACATTCGTGCTTCCTGCCCTCATCTCACAGCCAGTCTCACCAACTACTCCCTCCGTCAGCGGGGCCAGAGTTACCTCCCATTGCCTCTACCGTGGGTCTTTGACTCTCTGTTCTCCTGCCACTCTTCATCCGGGTCCTAGTCCCCGCCCCCCTTGGACGGCTGCCTGATTGTCTCCCTAGTTCTTTTGTTTGTTTGTTTGTTTTTAGACTGTTAAAAAAATTTGAGAGAGCCAGCTGTGCACAGAGGAAGAGGAAGAGGGAGATGCAGACTCCCTGCTGAGCAGGAAGCCCCATCCCCCCAGGACCCTGAGATCATGACCTGAGCCACCCAGGCGCCCCTAGTTCTAACCTTCCGCTCCATGCTACTGTGGGAGGGGCTTTCTAGAGCATAGATGCAATCCCATCCAATACATGCTCAGTCAAGGTTGATGGAGCATACTAAACAGAACCAGGTCTGAGTACAGTAACTGAACAGGCCTTCCCTCTGCCTCCGCTGCTCCCACCCCTACCGCTGGCTCCTCTCAGCCTCCCCTGCCTCTGCCCTGTACCATCACCAGTAACTGGGGTGAGGTAAGTCTCTGAAACACAGTTTCAGAAAAGAAAAAAAAAAAGAGCATGTTCCGGCTCATGAGTTCTCTCACAATTTAATTCAATTGTGATGGGATATGCTTAGACTCTAAAAGGGAATCAGTACCTGCACTTCCATCAAATCCAAACACTAACTCTGGCCTAAAACATACAAAGGTCTACTTTCCTCTTCCTTAGGACTGTCCTTAGCAGCTGGAGTCCCAAGGGAATCCTGATACGCTGAGATTTGCCATGCTGAGTTGCTGAAACAGAGCAGCTCCACCACAAAACGGCTGTCACCCGTCTACTCCTCATGGCATTCTTTTCCCTCTCTCTCCTAACTGCTCCCATTTTGTGTACTCCACAGTCTGGACTTTGTGTGTTGTTTTGGTTTGGTTTGGTTTTTTGCTTTTTAAAACTGTGGTATAGGGGCGCCTGGGTGGTTGTTAGGCGTCGGCTCGGGTCATGATCCCGGGGTCCTGGGACCGAGCCCCGCATTGGGCTCCCTGCTCAGCGGGAAGCCTGCTTCTCCCTCTCCCACACCCACTGCTTGTTCCCTCTCTCACTGTCTCTCTGCCAAATAAATAAAATCTTAAAAAAAAAATTGTGGTATAATTTAACATGTAGTAAAGTACATAAATCTTAAGTGGACAGCTTGATGAATTTTTTACTATGTACATACCCATGTAACCACCACCCAGATCAATATATAGTCCATTGCCAGGACCTCGGAAGGTTCTCTTACACCTTCCCCCACCTCCTGTCAGTTGATAATGTCCCAAAGGTAACCACTATTCTGACCTCTATCATCACAGTTCTTTTTTTGCCTGTTATTTTAAACTTTTATATAAATGGAATTATAGATTTACATTTTTGTATCTGGCCTTTCAACATTATGTCATATAATCTACCTTTTAAATCATACCATCACACATATATTCTCCAAAATTAGTGGAAATCAATCAAGCCATTTTTTAAAGAATAATTTGATAATAAACCAAAAGAAACTAGTTTATGGATATGAATATTTTATGAGTAAGAAAGTCTGTGAAATTGATAATTTGTGAATTTATTAGTAGGCGTATATAGGAAACAGTGAGACTTCGGTGGGTTACCATTAAATTAGCACTGAAAATTAGTTTGAAAAATACTGCAAATTAATTTCATTTACAAAGGTAAGTAAAAAGTATGGTCCAACTTTCATCATAGGAAGAGAGGATTGAGAGGCACCTGGGTGTCTCAGTCGGTTAAGCATCCAACTCTTAATTTCAGCTCAGGTCATGATCTCAGCGTTGTGAGATCGAGCCCTGCTCGGCTCTGTGCTGGACATGGAGGCTGCTTAAGATTCTCTCCCTCTCCATCCACCCACATGCATGCCTGCTTTCTTTCTCTCTCTCTCAGAAAGAGAGAGAGAGAGAGAGGATTGAAATGGCCTTTAAATATACATGAAGATTAAGAAATGAAAATGTTGGCACTTAAAATTTATGTCCACATTTTCTGGTATTTTAACAGGTATTTAACTTGTACTTTGACTCCTGTGTTTATCTTGGCTGTCTAATCCCAAAGCTCTTTCTTTCTCACTGTCAATCTCACACTCACTGAGTGTGATATTTCAGGAGCTACACAACAGAATTTTCTGTGACACATCTACAAACAAAAAACTGAAATCAATCACCACTTTGGAAATGACAAACACCCCAGAAATATTGAAACAAATATTCTATGAAATATAAACTTATTTTTAAAGATTTTTATTTATTTATTCATGAGAGACAGTGAGAGAGAGAGGCAGAGGGAGAAGCAGGCTCCCAAGGAGCAGGGAGCCCGATGCGGGACTCGATCTCAGGACCCTGGGATCATGACCTGAGCCGAAGGATTATCATCGCTTAACCATCTGAGCCACCCAGGCTCCCTGAAATATAAACTTTTGATTTTGACTCTAAAACAATGCTTAGCCTTTAAACTGTTTGACATTAAATATCATTATATTTATACTGTAACTATAAAATACATCGCTTAGCCTTTCCCGATTTCCAGGCCCATTTATCCAATAGCCTAAGAGACCATTGTGAATACGTCACAGTAACCTCAAGCACATCACCAGTTTTGTCTGTTATTCTGTATAGAGGTGAAGGGCAGTCCCAGCTACACAATCACCCAAGCCAGACACTGGGAATCAGCAGGAGCCCCTCTTCTCCTTCTCCCTTCACATCTTATCAATTCTACCCAAAATCCTGTCAGTTCCAACTCTGAAGTATTTCGTAGTCCTGCACCCTTCTCTATTCCTCCTGATACAAGACTTCAAGCCGACTCATGGTTTTGTACCTGTACAGCCATCTATAAACCTCCCACAACTAGCTTTTTTTTTTTTTTTTAAAGATTTTATTTATTTATTTGGCAGAGAGATACAGAGAGAGAACAAGTAGGCAGAGAGGCAGGCAGAGGGAGAGGGAGAAGCAGGCTCCCCGCCGCGCAGGGAGCCCGATGTGGGGCTTGATGCGGGGCTCTATCCCAGGACCCTGGGACCATGACCTGAGCCAAAGGCAGCTGCTTAACCAACTGAGCCACCCAGGCGCCCCCCACAACTAGCTTTTTAACTGGTCCCCTGCCTCTGGCCTTCCTCTACTTGAAACTAGTTGGTTTACTGAAATATTCAATAAACACCTGGTGAGGGTGTACTCTGTGAAGTTCTGTAGACAGCTCCTAGGGACACAAAGATGAGTAAGACAGCTCCTGCCACTGAGGGGCTTACGGTCTAAAGGAGGGAGACAGTGTATATGTGGGAAGGGCTGTGGCATCAGACAAACCCTGATTCAAAATGTCAGTTTTGCTACTTACTGGCTGTATGACTTTGGGTCAGATGCTTAATCTCCCTGAGCCTTGTTTCTTCATCTATAAAATGGAGGTATTCGGGGCACCTGGGTGGCTCAGATGGTTAAGCGTCTGCCTTCAGCTCAGGTCATGATCCCAGAGTCCTGGGATGGAGTCCCGCATTGGGCTCCCTGCTCAGCGGGGAGCCTGCTTCTCCCTCTCCCTCTGCCTCTCCCCTGCTAATGCTCTCTCTCTCTGTATCTCTGTGTCTCAAATGAATAAAAAAAAAGATATTAAAAAAATAAAATGGAGGTATTAATTCTCACTTTTCATGGCTGTTTAAGAATCAGAAAACATGCAAACGTCTGGCATATAATAGGTACACAGCAGATAGTGGCTAGTACTGTTTGTTTAGTTATGCACTTTTTATTAATTTTTTAAAGATTTTATTTATTTATTTGAGAGAGACAGAGATAGCAACAGACAGCACAAGCGGGGAGGAGAGGGCGCCCAATGCGGGGCTCGATCCCAGGACCCTGGGATCATGACCTGAGCCTCAAAACAGGGAAACATGCTCTAACACCGACCCCTCTCAACCGACTGGGCCACCCAGGTGCCCCAAGTTATACACTTTTAATAGAGTCAGTATTTTCTCAATGGAGATTAAAATCGGTTTTTCCTAATTTAATAATTAATCCTTGGAGAACTGTCTATTATGCAGCAAGTATAATATGGCCTCATTAATGTAAAATTGTATTTCTGTAACTCAAAGAGGCAATTTTATAAAGTAGTTAAGAATATGGACTCTGGGGGCACCTGGGTGGCTCAGCCCTTTAAGCATTTGCCTTCGGCTCATGTCATGATCCCAGGGTCAGGGTCCTGGGATCAAGCCCCGCATCGGGCTCCCTGCTCAGCACAGAGTCTGCTTCTCCCTCTCCTTCTGCCCCTTCCCACTGCTCCACGCTCTCTCTCAAATAAATAAAGTCTTTAAAAAAAAAATATGGACTCTGAGCCAACAGACCTAGATTTCAATCATCTTAGTCACCTGTGAGCTGTGTTATTTGGCTAAGTCACTTAGTTTTCTTTAAATTGCTTAACCCTTTGAGTTTAGTTTCTTCATCTCTTAAGTGGATGAACATGCAGCTTTTTCAAAGGGTTGGCAAACTGATTAGCACAGTGCTACATAGGAAGCAGCTGATAAATGTTATCAGAAAGTGGTATCTGGAAGGCTGCTCACCAAAATGGTTTTCTCTAGATGGTGGGATTTCAGCAGATATTTATTTTGCTCATTATACTCTTGTGTATTGCTTGATTTTTTTTTTTTTACCCCAAGCACATATAATTTTTATAAAAGCTAAAATAAAGTTTTAATAAAATTTACCTTCTGAATTCAAGAGTTCTGGTTTCATCTTTCCAGTACCACATCCCCAATCGCAATCCCAACTGCTGTAAAATGAAATGATTGCAGCAAATATTAAAAATTCAATTTACAATACACATGTCACAATGAACTTTTAACAATTCCCACTTGTTGTTCTTTATTCAGTAAAGATGTAGAATCTTCAAATGTTGTGTGGTGGGGTTTTGTTTTGTTTTGATTGAAGCCAGGATTTTATCCTTTTTGTGTTCAGGTATAGTTTCAGTAGAAAAGAAGGAAGAGAGGGATGAAGAGCGGGGAGGAAGAAAAGGAAGGGAAGGGAGGACGTTTCACTTAGTCTGCACTACTATCCCGGGGCTCATCAGAGCAATTTATGAACTGGGACTCAGACCACAACAAACATGCCCAGCGGAGCCTCAGCGGAGGAGAGGAGATAAGACATTCAAAACAGGGGAGCGTGCTCTAACACCGACCCCGCCCTTCAGGGGGAAGGAGGCAAAGGACAAGCTTACCTTTTCAGTAGTGGTAGCTACCAAGCCACTAGCCTTTCCTAACCGGGGATCGCGCCCGGAGCACGACGGCTTTCTGCACAGGAGGGCTATTTATTTTGCAACCAACCAAATTAGAGGTGCTGGGGTGGAACTTTCATAAACATCTAAATATCTGGGTAGGAAGCCAGAATTCAATTCTGACCTTTGGCCGAGTACACCTCTCTAGTCTTGGTTTTGTAGGCAAACAGGGCCACGTCTGTCAAAGAGCCGCTCGCCCAGGGTTGAGGGCAGGGCCGCTGCAGGGGGAGACGCCCCGGGAGCCGCGGGGCCGGGGAGGCGGCGGCAGGGCAGGCCTGCTCCGGCCTCGGGGGTCGGGGCGACCAAGGCTGCACTTACCTCCGGCAGGGAAGTGGCCTGCCCGTCCCACCGCCTTCTCCGGGAATAAAACAACGGCACCGGATGCCTGTCCTCTCCCAGCCCGCCAAACATGGTCACCCAGTCAGCTGCCCACCGGCGCGGCCAACCGCGGCCCGAGGGCTGCAGCTGAGGGGTCGGGCGGGGGGCGGGGACTGCGCCCGCGGGCTGGCGAACGGCCGGGCTGCGCAGCCCCGGCGGGGCACGCCTCGGCCCGGTTCCCGTTCCCGCGGGGCTCCGTCCACTTTCTGGCTACCTCTGGTGGCTTAGAGGCGTACGCAGAGTAAAGCTGCCCAGGGGTTAGTTCTGTACAAGTCAATTCTTCATGGCCTTCCAACCGTGAAGTAAACCACTTAACTGTTTTTTGTTCTTAATTGGAGTAACAAGATTCAATTCCATAGGGAAGATCCCTTTGTCCCAAAATTTAATAGCACTAAATTAATTTCAAATCCAGGGCGGGATTAGGTCGATGGGGGGGGGTGTTGGTGGAGGTTTAGGGGAGGATGCGTGGAAATAAGGTTTTTGTAACTTGGTTCTGCTGCATATCTAGATGTGCTACCCAGGGCAAGACAACTCTGATCCTCCTTGAAGATACCGAAGTCAGGGGTTATGAGGTTTTTAAAGGAGTAATGTGTGTAAAGCACCACCCTACTCAAAATTAGTGTTGCTTAAAGCAAAGAAACTTGCTTTGTGTCAGTGAGTATTCAATTATATTTTTACATTTATGCTTTTCACTTTTCAAATCCTGTCTTCGAATTCCTTCTTACAACTGACTTTTGTTATTTTTCCTTCCAACACTGATGTCAGCAATGCTAGGTTACAATTGAGAATGCCTAATATATTCTTTGTTTTATCCCCACAGTTTAATTAGGTTAAGAGATGCTCAGTAAATAGTAACTATATTCCCATCAATTTTAAACATATGACAATTGGCATCTCACTGCTTCCCCTTACTGCCCCAGCCCCCACCCCCAGCCCCCCAGTCTCACTACTGGGTGACACATAATTAGTATAAAACTAATCAGCTGGATTCATGTTCCACTCAGTCCACTGCTGTTCAGATAAGATAACATGGAAACCCACCTATACACTGGCAGTGGGGCTTTGAGGCTGTGGCCTCAGGACTGGCTTATTACATGAGATTACTCACTTAAAATAGGAGTTAAGAATATTTCAGTCACCAAGAGTTTTTTACCTAACAATGTATATAACTTGGGGTGGGGCGGACAGGGAGAAATTATGAGCTAACACTCCACAAAGGCCTGAGAAAGACCAGCGACTCCAAATAGAATCCGTTCACCTCACCACCAATGTCAGGAAGAACACACTTCAGTCAACTTCTTCAGTTTATCCCAGTGAGTGAAGAAATGCTAACAGAAAACCAAAGATCTTTTATACTTCACCATAGTTTAACTTCAGGCTGTCTAATGTATAAAACTAAGGTAAAAAATAAGAGGTGAGACCTGAACACAGTGATCTACATAAAAGTTACATGACAAGTTATTTCACCTGTGCTAGAGGGACATGGTATTTATAGGAAAACTTTGATAACTCTGAGGGACCATCTTATTCTTCTGTATTTACCAGACCCTAACAAAAAAGGGAATAAAAGATTGTTTTTACGGCTCTAAATCATTATTTATTTAAAAAGTGACCAATACTATTGGGGTGCCTAGGTGGCTCAGTCAGTTCGGCATCCGCCTCCGGCTCGGGTCGTGATTCCAGGGTCCTGGGATGGAGTCCACATCCGGCTCGAGCAGGGAGCCTGCTTCTCCCTCTCCCTCTACCTGCCACTCCCCCTGCTTGTACCCTCTCCCTCTGTCAAGTAAATAAATAAGTAAAAAATAAATAATCTTTTAAAAAAGGTGACCTATTCATTTCTTAGGTTAGACTTTTTTTTACCAGTTAGATTTTTTTAGTGATATCAGAATCTCATAATCTGGGCGCCTGGGTGGCTCAGATGGTTGAGCGTCTGCCTTCGGCTCAGGTCATGGTCCCAGTGTCCTGGGATCGAGTCCCGCGTCGGGCTCCCTGCTCCTTGGGAGCCTGCTTCTCCCTCTGCCTCTCTCTCTCTTTCATGAATAAATAAATAAAATCTTTAAAAACAATCTCATAATCTAAAATGGAAATATAATTTTCCCTTAAAAAAACAATTAATGATGTTATAAAGTAGGGATACAGGTACTATATATTTAACAACTTCAAGTGTCCTGTGAGAGAAAGATTTTTTTTTTTGTCTAAGTAAGAGAAACTTCTTAAGGTCATATTATAACTAAGAGCATATTAACATAAAACTAAGTTGCTGGTCTCAGATTTTAGGCCCAAGACATTAACTGAATATAATGTATGCTTATACTATGAAAAAGTTGTAACAGAGAGATTTTCAGAGTATTATAATTCTACCTTTAATAACTAATGTGTAAGAAAATGGCAATGCCAGTATTTGAATTATCAACTCCATTTATCTACTCTACATCTAATCTATACTGAAAGAGGAAAGACCCTATGGCTTCTTGATTTGTTCAAAGGGAAAGACATTTCAACACTAAGTATCACCCTATTAAATTTCAGGACTGCATATACCCTAAAGTATTCCAAGAGCTATCTCTAAAGATCTATAATTTTTCCTTAAGGAATGTATCAATTTTTCTGTATCTAATTATAATGCTTAAGGATAATCCTTCAAAACTCATTTCTATTTAGACATTATGCAGAAGCAATTAAATATGCCTGTTGTTCCTTAACCTAAACATATATATTGCCTTAGCAATTGTCTTGTGATGTATGGATTTGAGATTCTTTAAAACTTCAATTCCAGTGTTCAAAAGCAAGGGGAACATGCCTCACAGCACAACTTTTATAAACTACATTCAGTGCATAGGATAAAGAAATTCTCGGTAAGCCTCCTTGACGTATTGTACAGGTGATACATTAAATAACCTATTATGCATGCTAAGTTTAAAGATGTGAAAACATTAATATCTCATGAACAAATGTTAATGAATTACCACTATACACATCAAACTAATACCATAAAAAATTTAGAGTAAGCTTGTTTTGAAATTTCATGCATCTCAAATACTATGAAAAACTTGTTAGGTCTTATTTTGACAGGTGTTTAGGATTTACTGCCTCAAAACAGGGACAACTATATTAGACATCCAGGTAAGAATTTAAGTGCCCATTCTGAGAAGTGTTCTTTTTAATTCCTTAGCGTTCTATATGTATTGCATTAGCTTTAGTCCAGACCACTAGTCCCTAGTGTAACACTACTTTCAAGTTCAAGTGATGCTAATTATTCCTTAAACTGTAATTTACCCTCATCCTAATATCAAGTACTTTTTCCATTGTCATTTGACTATGTCTGATCTAACATCTGCTAAGGAGTTCCCAGGAGTTATCCGATTACCAGTTTCAACTGACCCCTGGAAACACTGAAAGGCTACTTTGGTGGCTTTATGTTCACAATATTCAGATCTAGATAAATTTGAGAAGACAAAATTAAATTAAAAACACTCAAGAAGGCTAGGAGTTTTACAAATTACTTTTCAGAATAATAGAAAATGAAATATCTACATAAATTGATATTCGTGTTATAGCAAGTTACCAGAGGCCAGGCCATAGGATAGTCAAAGAGACTACCACTGGTCATTTTTCTGGTAACTTTAGAAACTAATCTCTTCTAAACAAAGGTCTAAAATGAATCATACTAATACCAAATTGCACTTGCAGAAAGATTCCATTACATTTTGAAGTTTGAGCAAGGGATAAACGCTTTCAACAAATAAAGGACTGATAAAAGGTTACTAGAATGAGCACTGTCATGGTAAAAATTCATGTTAAACATCACTCTAAAGCTAGTATTCACCAGATTCTGTTAATACTAAGGTAGTTTGTCAAGTATTTATGTGATGCTATCTGTAGTTAAACACCCTTAATGCCTCCTTGCTGAAAACTTTCCACCAAAGTGGCACTAACACCGAAAAAACTGAGTTATCATCAGCTTTTCAGAGTGTAAAAAACAGTTACCTTAAAATTTTAAGTTTTGAAACAATTTCAAAATTGCCTTTTTATCTCACTCCCACCCACCCAAATGACTCTGCTTAAAAAATAAAAAACTTAAGAGTAAGCTCTTGTGTGAGAGGGTCATTACAAAGCTCAGTATTTTTTTTTTAAAGATTTTATTTATTTATTCATGAGAGACAGAGAGAGAGAGAGAGAGAGAGGCAGAGGGAGAAGCAGGCTCCCTGCTGAGCAGGAAGCCCGATGCGGGACTCGATCCCAGGACCCTAGGATCATGACCTGAGCCGAAGGCAGACGCTTAACCATCTGAGCCACCCAGGCGCCCACAAAGCTCAATATTTTTAATTTGTTCTCTAGTTTTTAGATTATTTCAAAAATTAATCTCTCTGCATGATACAGAAGGGTCCACTACTAAAAATATAGCATCTATAATGCAGTTATCTTATGAACAACATGAAGCAAATCTACATTGAATAGAGATAGTGAAATGTCTATGTGTGGTAAAAACAGGCTAACTGCATTTTCCAATCAGCTTTATTCAATTTCTCCTAAGTTCCCCTTAAAGAGAATAAATCAGAACAAACTAGAGACGTCATTCCACTAAAAAATACAAATATGAACCCCCTTCTCCTAAGGGTGTGGATTTTAAAGCTTAAGCCCAGGACAGTTGATCCTAAAGGGTTGCAATATTCTTATCTGTAACAATTTCAAATCAGATACATAGGAAAATGGACAAGCTGTAGATTACAAAATACAGGACTATCTTGCAGTTTTGTCTTTTAGAAAAGGAAACTGGTGCGCCTGTCTGGTGCAGTTGGTTAAGCGGCTGACCCTTGGTTTCAGTTCATGTCTGATCTCAGGGTGATAAGATCGAATCCCACATCGGGCTCTGCTTAGCACAGTCTTCTTGGGTTTGCCTCGCCTCTCCATTTGCCCCTCCCCCCCTTAAATAAATCAATTTTAAAACAAATATTTAAAAAATTAAAAGAAAAAAAGAAAATCTATTCTAGTGATTTAAGGCAAGTATTGCAAAAGCATGATTCTCAAATCAGAAAAAAAAATTATCTCCATCTCCCAAGTAATTGTTAACTGTTGGAAACC